GTACCTACATCAAAATTAAACAGTGATTTGAAAGAAAATTTTCCTGGTTAATTCTTCAGTACCATGGCCCACCCATGCATGCATGGACAGGCAGAGTAGCTTGTGTCCAAGCTTGGTCGTCGGGAGCCAAAATAAAAATTCGGGACTAAGTTCGTCTATTGATTTGATAATTTTTTTCCAAAAGATGGGGGCTGGCCAGTGGTGGGTCGAGCGCAGTACATAAATTTGGGACCAAAACAACAAAATCGAATAACAGTGTAGGCCGAATGCATTCTAATGTGATATCTAGTCTTTCTGAACTAGAACTAGATAGTTTTTCTGAAACGGCATAAATATTTTGAGGTTCTTTCATCCATAAAACTTGCAGAAGAGTCCTTGAAGACGGGCGCACCTAGAAGGCGAAGTGAACATTTATTGATAACCGAGGTTAAGTGTAACAATATTAAATTTTGATATGATCTGTCTGTCTGTCGGTAGAGTCATCTAAAAATATCTCACACTTGGATTAATTTAGGACAAGGCCAATAGAATGAAGTTCGTTTTTTAAAAATATTAAATCATTTAAAACTGTTTCTTAACTCGTCAAGTACCGTCATTATAGACACAATTATAGAACAATAGGTTGCGGTCACCGGTGACCGCTTGGTGTTTGACAGTTTAAATGGATCTCTGGATTGCAAAAGGTTGTCCTGATATAATTGTTTGGTAGGATGTCTATAACATTGCCAGAGAAAACTGAAAATTTGGGGTACTTCATTTTTAACTTCTGACAACAAAGTACCCCTTCTGGCCCAACACAAGTATTGTATAATAACTTACTGGGATTGCCTCAATGTTAGACAACTTGTTTCTTAATGTCAACTTTCAGGATGACTTCTCCTTTCCTGGAATTCAGGTAGGTCGACAACGCATGCACGGCAATCTCGCAACCACCTCTCGATCCATACCCGAGTTGAAGGGGCTGAACATTTTCCGGAAGATGATTAAATGATTACTATACATTTTGCAACAAATCTTGGGCGAATACTGCCATCCTTCTTGCGTAGATCACATACACTGGCCCCGTACAAAACGTCGATGACGGATTCGTGTACATAACCAGGGAGCATGAGATTGATCAAAACCGTAAGCTCCTTCAGTAGCGTCACGCCGAACTCTCCGGCGCTTGATCTCCTCAGATCTTTTAGATGCTGCGGCGTAAAACCGAGCCTATGGCAGTGACCACTTGTCGACCTGTAATAGATAGGGTATGAAATAGAAAATCCATCTACCGGGGCCAGGTGTTTGAACTAAATAAGATAAACTTTTCGTTGAGGCATAACGGTACGCCGGTAAATTTGGGTAATTCAATTAATTCAACAAAATATATTTATTTGAATACAGCTTTTTGTCACGTTTATTAAAACCTTATTTTATAATAAAATGAATTGATG